GCTCATCCTGGGCACCCTGGGGCGCCAGGGCTCCCCCAGCATCCTGCAGGTACCGTCCCCCTCCCCGTGGCCCCTGTCTGGGCACCGGGCGCTGCTCCTGGGTCGGGGGGAAGGACTGGTGAGCGATGGCACCGCTGGCACAGCGGCCTTGCCTTGCTGCTGGGGCGGGGGTGGACCCGGCACCGTTGGCAGCCCATCGGTTGCCACTGTCCAGGGTCTGCGTGCCCCTGAGCTGAGCGGGCAGGGCAATTAGCGGCAGATGAGGGAGGCCGGACGAGGGCTCATTAAACCTGCCCCTTGCTGAGGAGAGCTGGTCAGCCTCGGAGACCTCCCCCCCCCCCGCAGCTCGGCAATTAATTCCCTGGGTTTGTTTTAATTGGATGAACTTCCGATCAGGTTCACTGTCCCTGCTCAGCCGGCACGCTGGCGCGTTCTGCTTCCCAGCCTGGCAAGGGGAGCAGGACCACGGAGTCCTGCCCCGTGGGAGTGGGGTGCCCTGAGCACAGCGACCCTGCTCACACCTGGGTATTCTGGGGGAGCAGCAGGTGAGATTTGTGGCAGTGCAGAGACCAGCGTGCAGAGCGGGATGGCAAGGTCCCAGCAGCACGCAGGACACAGGCGTGGCTGGGGCCGGCTGGGCAGGGGCGATTAGTGCTGGCTCTGGAGGACAAGGACGTCCCTGGGCCCCCCTGGGCCCCTCTCATCCTCCTGTAGCCTCTTGTCACAGCCAGTCTGCAGCCGGCCAGCGTCCCGGGGAAGGCAGCTGCTAACGAGAACAGATTGTTGTCATTGAGCAGTAATTACTTCATTAGGCTGAGGCACTCGCTGGGGAGAGCGGGGCATGAGCCAGAGCTATGCCCACGGTCCTGTCACCGTGCCTGGCCTGTGACTGCCGTAGGGACCTGGCCGTGGGGCAGAGCTGGGACCCAAGGGGGATCTGGTGGCCAGGAAGGGGCTGTGGGTAGCGCCTGGGGGTCTGTCTGGACTCCCTTAACCCCCTCGGGCGCCTTTGCCCCCTCAGCACCTGGAGTCACGTCTCCGTGCCCTGGGCCGGCCCTTCGTGCGGGTGCTGCTCTCCGAGATCTTCCCCAGCAAGCTGCAGCTCTTCCCTGACGTGGACGCGTGAGTGCTGCTGAGCCCCGCCCCGGCCCCCCGCTTTGGGCTCCCCAGGATGCCCCATCTCTTTCCAGGCCTCCGA